TAAGACCGTGGGGAGTGGGGATAAAGTGCACTGTGGGTGCTAATGTGTACTGGGCTTCTTTTCAGGGTGATGAAATGTTCTAGAATGGATTGTGATGATGGTTGCACAACTCTGTGAATAGACTAGTTATCATTGAGTGGTACACTTTAGATCGGTGAATTGCATGGTATGTGAATTATATCTCAATGAAACTATTATTAAAATAAATAAACAAACAAGAGACACAGATGTCCCTCAGCTGGAAGTTTCTCTTGAGCCTTTCACTAAAGTTGGCTTTAGCTTAAAACAATTTGCATACCACAGAGGCACATTTTGGGGTGACTCATTCTGGACCCCACACTACTCACAGTGGAACTCTAATTTCTTCATCTAGGCACTTGCTAGAAATGCAAAACATCTAGCCCCACCCAAGACCTACTGCAGCAAAATCTGCATTTTCTCAAGGTTCCCTGTGATTATCATGCATGCTAACCAAAGCAAAACCACCCCAGACCCACTGAGGCGTTATCCGAATTTCACAAGATCCCCAGCAACTATTATGCATAGTAAAGCAGTGAACTCCCCAACTAGCTGAACTTCCCACATTTATCAACTTTTGTAAGTATTGCATATGAAACGTATCTTCTCTTAAATGTTCCAACCATCTACATAAATTTAAAACACTTTACTTTCTACTCATAAGTTTAATTCAATTACTTAAGTATACATTTTGAATTGGCATTAGAAGGCTATTCTGTCAATCCAACTGTACAAATTTTCTCAAATGTAAATACACAAAATATCAAATATGCATTAGCTCTTTCTGATCCTCATATTTAATATTATAATTTTGAAATAGCACAACTTTTTAATACTTAATTTTAATTATTTCTGGGTTTTGAGGGAAGCTTATCTACAAAAAATAAACAATTATATCATCCCACATAATTTTAGTTCACTAGTTAATTTTATTAAATATTTAAAGAACTAATTTCAAACCTATGTAATCTCTGTCAGAAAATAAAATAGAGTGAAGGAACATTTCCCAACTCATTCTATGAGGGTGCTATTTCCCTGATAAAAGGAAACTACAGATTAATGCCCCTCATGAGCTTAGATGCAGAAATCCTTTAAAAAAGTATTAGCAAGAAATTCATGAGTATATAAAGTTATTACCACTATCACCAAGTGGGTTTTATCTCACATAATTTTGAAGGTTATAGTCTCATGTAATTTTCAGTACCACTCCACCATCCTATATAATAAAAGGGTAATATGCAAATTGACCCTAACAGCAGAACAACCAGAACAACCGCTCGACCAGTCACTATGAGGCACACTGACCACCTCTTGGTGCCTTTCCCCAGCTGGCAGGCTCCCATTGCCTGATGGTGAATGGGGAACTGGGGTGGGTGGCGGTGGGGGGTGGGGTTGGCTGCAGGCAGCCAGGGAAGATGGCCCTGATCACAGGCCAGGCCTAGGGACTGTACCCACACACAAATTTTGTGCGCTGTGCCTCTAGTTCAGCCATGGGCAAACTACGGCCTGCGGGCCGGATCCGGCCGGTTTGAAATGAATAAAACTAAAAAAAAAAAAAAAAAAGACCGTACCCTTTTATGTAATAATGTTTACTTTGAATTTATATTAGTTCACACAAACACTCCATCCATGCTTTTGTTCTGGCCCTCCTGTCCAGTTTAAGAACCCATTGTGGCCCTCGAGTCAAAAAGTTTGCCCACCCCTGCTCTAGTTAGATAATACAATGTTAACAGATTAGATTCTTGATATCTCTTATGGCTTTGTCTAGTGGTCAGTCAGAACTTTAGTGCGAAGTCCTTGTACTGAGGGGTGACTTTCATTATTATTAGTGTAAGAAGAAGCATAGCAGGATTATGTAGAAGGTACACTGGACATCTAAAGGAGTCTAGGCTGGTGTGGGAGAATCAGGGACTCATGTTGACTCTATAGCGCATGGTTTTGTGCCTGACAAGAGAGCAGGTATGGTGAAATGTTCCAGAGGGAGAGGGAATGTAATGTGTAATGTGAGCTCTGTCGTTATTCTGATTGAAAGGAAGTGGGCAAGGAACCGAGAGGGAGAGCTACATGAGCAAGTTCAAGCTAAGGACGCTTTTCCTTTAAGACCGTGCACTGACAATAAATATAAAGCCCTCACTCACCCCCACACTCTACCTCAGGTGGGTGCTTAACAGGGTTAGTTTCTTTGCCCTGTAGGGAGAATTGTTTTTAAATAACCACACCATATAGTAATTGTATTTTCCTTTTATTTTGTTTTTAATTAGGAACTCAAGATCAGAAGTAGGCTCCCTCACTACTTTGGAAATAAGCAGCACCTCTGGCTGGCTCCCAACGATTTCATAAGAGTCATATTTTGTTAGCTGGACTAATTGTGGTTACTTTGATTCTCTCCCTGATAACTTTCGTTTTCCTCCCATGAAACATCAAGGACTTCCTGTAGGGCAAAGATGATGAGAGCAAGTGGGACGGGCTAAGACCATGAGGGGAAGCAAGCTTTGCCACCCCAAAATCTGCCTCTTTAGGATATGGGCTATTTTATAGTGGTTATTTTTCAAGAATCAAAAGACTCAGGAAAAACCTTTAAACTTCCTCCTAACTGCCTAAAAGAATTTTGGTAGAGGACCTGCTCTAGAAAGGGAGGTAATAAATACCATACATAATAAGTTTAACATGAACTAGTGTGTGATAGATAGCAGGAAGCTAGCAAGGCCCCTTTAATAAAAGTCCTCTCTGTGTCCCATCATTACAGATGGCCCAGCAAACATTGATTCACCATTATTTGCTTTTCCTTCTCCATGTGAACTGCCTTCCTGTCCTTTGAAGTTCCAAACCACAACCCCAACTTATAAGGCATAGTATGATGTGTCTTTATGGTCAGCCATACAAAATATGAATTCATTGAGAACAGTTCCAGGCTGCAGACAACTGCCTTTGAGTATTTAGCAAACTAGTTTGAGGATATATAGTATTATTCATATAATGTAACACGTGACCTCCAATAACTAGCTACTATTTATTGAGCAACTATGGAATATGCATTGTGTGTGTGTCCATTAGGATATGAACTATTTTATAATGGTTATTAGCATGCACATGCGCACGCGTGCACACACACACACAAACACACAAACACTGTTTATTTATTTATTTAATTTATTTATCACACTAGAGGCCCGGTGCATGAAATTCGTGCACGGGGGGTGTGTGTCCCTCAGCCCAGCCTGCACCCTCTCTCTAATATGGGACCCCTCAAGGGATGTCAGACTGCCCGTTTAGCAGTCGTACATCCCTCTCACAATCCGGGACCGCTGGCTCCTAACCGCTCGCCTGCCTGCCTGCCTGGTCACTCCCTAATCACTCCCCTGTCAGCCTGATCGATGCCTAACTGCTTCCCTGCTGGCCTGATCGCCCCCAACTGCCCTCCCCTGCAGGCCTGGTCCCCCCACTGCCCTCCCTTGCAGGCTTGGTCCCCCCCCCCAACTGCCCTCCCCTGCAGTCCTGGGTCCCCCCCCCAACTGTCCTCCTCCGCCAGCCTGGTCCCCCCTAACTGCCCTCCCCTGCAGGCCTAATCGCCCCCAACTGCCCTCCCCTGCAGGCCATCTTGTGTCCACATGGGGGTGGCCATCTTGTGTGTTGGAGTGATGGTCAAGTTGCATATTACTCTTTTATTAGATAGGATAAGCCTGGGAGAGGACAGCATTCTTTTTCTTCCCCTTTCTTTTAACCTATGAGGAAACTGAGGGTTAGAGAAATTAAGTGACTCCCCCAAGGTCATCTATCTAGAAATAGGAGGGGTCAGATTTTGAAGCCAGGCAGAGAGGGGTTTCAAGGCAAAAGCAGCACTAGTTCAGTTTGTATTGTATGTTAAGGACAGATATTTATATTTTTTACTGCAACCACAGGGAAGATATTTCATGTACATGATCCTCATCTTCTTTATCTGCAAAGTGGCTCCTTCTTCATTGGGTCATTGGGAGAGTGAATGAGCAAGTGCAGGCCAAGCACTGTTAAGCACATTCCTAAGCTCCCTAAGACTCCCAAGGTCAACAAGTGAATTAAAAATAAACTGACATCACTGGTAATTCCAGAGAAGGGGCTCAGGTCCGTTAAATCCCAGGATCTATGATGATTATGGACTTCACTACCTTTATTAAAACCAACCAAGCTCTGGCCGGTGTGTTCAGTGGTTAGAGCGTGGGCCCACACCAAGGGTCATGGATACTACCAGGGTTGCAAGTTTGATCCCCCAGTCCCTCAAGGCGTGTGCCGGGATGTGGTCATTTCTTTCCCCCTCTGGAAAATATGTCCTTGTGTGAGGATTAACAACCCCCCCCCCAACACACACACACACAGACACAAATACACACACACAAATACACACACCCTGAAATCCAGAGATCAGAAAATTGTGTCAATCCCATTGCTGCCAAATAGATTTACCTGGCCACACTCTTCCTTAATTCTATGGGGCTTCCCAAGGGTTTCTTATTTTTTGGCATGTGAAGGTCTGACTCAGCGCTTGGTGGACACACTGGGCTTGAAATTAGAGAACGGAGACACAAAACCGTTCAGAGAGTGGCCTTTTCCCCTGGGAAAGGCTGTCACACGCCAAGTCTCCTCCCTCCGAGAAACCCATTAACAGACGGGGTGGTGTCCAGCCCCCCTCCTCCCCCGCCGCCAATTCAGGCACCACAACCTGCTAGGCTATAAACCGAGGGCTGGGAGGGAGGGAGGGGACTTGCTAAAAATGTCAGCGGACTTCCCAGCCACTGGTGGGTCCCTAACCCGCCGGCCCCTCCCCTTTTACCTCTTCCCCTTTCCACCCCTTCCTCTTCCCACCCGGGAGCCGGGCGGGGCGGGTCCTTAAGAGCACAGCGCGCGCAACGGGTCGCCCGCGAGCACCGGCTTCCGCACCTCCTGCCTGCCACGCGCCAGGTCCGCAAGCCCCGCGCCCGCCTCCCGCCCCCCCCCCCCGCCCCCTTCGCCCTCCCTCCCCACGCTCCTCGCCCGCCGCCCCGCCTTGCGCCCCGGCCGTGCCCTCCCCGCGCGCCGGCGCCGCAGGAAGGAGCTGCGGGCTCCAGGCTAGCGGACCCGCGCCATGCCCCGCATCGATGCGGACCTCAAGCTGGACTTCAAGGATGTCCTCCTGCGACCCAAGCGCAGCAGCCTCAAGAGCCGATCAGAGGTGGGACGCTCCCAACGCCGCCTTGGGGGGTGGGCCGGCTTCTGGGTGGCGCGGGGCAGGTGGTGGAAGGAGGAGCAATGTGGCAATACCTCGCCTGCTTTTCTGGGTCTGAGGATGGCTGGGGTGCGACCTGGGCAAGGGGAAAGCCAGCTGGTTCCCTGCCAGGACCAGAGGTGTCTTCAGGGGGCCCAGCTGGGGCCTAGCCTTCCAAAGCTTCGGTTGGGTGGGCCGGGAAGTCCATGTTAGAGCTAGACCGCAGAGGAGCAAGATCAAGTGGCCCAATGAGGAAAGAGAATGGGGAGGCAGGACGGGTGCATTTAGGGGGAAAAAGACACAGTGGAGCCAGATCATAAAAGGAGAGGAGAAACAACGAAAGAGACTTGTGATTTTGACGCTGCTTCTTAGTGTAGAAAACTGCTATTGGCTTAGTGTCAGATCCAGCAGTAGAATTTCTTTAAAATATTTGAAAAACAGGGAAACTTCAGGGTTTACTCTCCGCGTTTCAGTGGCCTTGCTGGGAGGGAGGCTGGGACCCGTGCCTAGTGGCACCCTCCTTACTGGACAGCTGCCCAGTCCTAGCCAAGCGGAAAGCACTGGGGTGCGGGCGTGGGGTTGGGGGGGCAAACTGGATCAAAGCTTGAAGAACAGGTGGAGACTGGACTGGAAATAGCCTCGGTGTGGGGGTTGGGATGCCCCTACTGGTGAGGAGGAAGGTCAAACTTTGAAGGTTAAACTAGCTGCACAGAAAGGCAGAGTCCCCCAGAGTGGTGTGTGCTGGTGACCATGGCTTTGCCTGGTCTGCCGGGAGCTAGAGAAGGAGGCGAGGGAGCTAGACTGGGCCTGGAGGCTGCGGCCACAGGAGCAAACAGGAGGAGGCTGAGCCAGCATGCTGTTCCTTACACCCCAGTCCAAAGACCATAAATAAATCGGCGGGCTGCCCACCAATGCCCCAGTTCAACTGCAATGCCTGGCGCTGCCCGCCGAGGGCTTGTTTGGATTAGGGAGGCCTCCTGCTTTAGCCAAGGACCAGAACCAAGTCACCTTCTCAGTCTCAAGCGGGAGGGTTGGTGGGCTGCGGCCAGAGAGGATGGAATAGGCAGGAGAGGAACGGTTAACCCTTGTCATGCTGGCCAGTTGGGGGACTGTGCCTGTTCTTCATGTTCATTCATGTGCTAAAGAGGGGGCAGACTTTTAAAGAAGAATAAACGGTTTGCACAGCCAGCCTGGGCTTCCCCAAGTATAAGCTGTGGTCAGTACCTAAGACCAGACTAAGACGAGATGCAGGGATTCTAGGCAGGCTAATAATTTGGTGTTCTCAATAGTCTCTCAACCAGCAGTTCTCAACCTGTGGGTCGCGACCCCTTTGGCGGTCGAACGACCCTTTCACAGGGGTCGCCTAAGACCATCCTGCATATCAGATATTTACATTACAATTCATAACAGTAGCAACATTACAGTGATGAAGTAGCAACGAAAATAATTTTATGGTTGGGTCACAACATGAGGAACTGTATTTAAAGGTCCAGAAGGTTGAGAACCACTGCTCTAAATATTTGTTCAGAACTCACCTAGTAGAGAGGAACTTTTAAGAAAAATTATATTTTTGAAACAAGGATATATTGTATGTATTTTTTGAACCAGGAAACATCTTGAGAAAGTAAAACATTTAGAATTTATGTAATAGAATGAATTACTCTTTCCCAGGGAAGAGTATGACATCATATATCATTTTGTTTGATAATTTGGGCTGATTGAAACTATTAATGACCCAGCCTCTGATGGCACCTTACAAGCTACATGTAAGCATTGCAATGAGAACGCTGTGTCCTAGGGAAAGGTTTTCATATTTCCAGTTTTGTGGGAGTTTGCCAGCTCAGTGCCAGGAAACCTGAGGTAACTGGCATTGCCTTTCCAATTGGTTCCTGTAATAGTTTAGCTCCCTGTTGCCCAAGGCAGCTGCCTGGCTGGCTACCCCTCATAATCAGACTGCCTGCTTCAGTGGTGTTGAGGGATGTAGTTAGGCCTAGGTCAAGCTAGGCTTCTGATCCCCTCTCAGTGTTTCCTCAATTTGCTTGTGGATGCCTGACATTTTTTAGAGGCAGATTAAACTATTTTCATTGTCCAATCAGGTAGAAGCCAAATGTCTGCACCCTGGCAGGACTCATACCGGAATGCAAATTTGAAGCTCAATGGTAAATGACTGGTAAATGACCGGATTTTGAGCTGAATCAGAAAGCAGATTTGAGTGAAGCCAGGACAGAAAACATACCCCTGAGAGCAGAGTCTTGCCCAGAAGGGAGAGTTTTGACGGTTGACAAGATTGATCACTGCAACAGTGTTGCTAAGAGCCAGGCCTGGTGCTGATCATGGTGAGCAGGAAGTGGAGAGAAGGACAGAGTGTTCTCCCAGCCCAGAAGTTTGAGCACTTCTGCTGGGGCGTTTCCACAAGTGTCATATAAAATTGAATTTGATGTCACCTTCCAGAGGCAAAGGGTACAGGTGGGGATGACCCAGGTGGCCTTTCAGTGGTTGCACCAGCTGGGCAGTCATCTCCCAACTGGCCATCCATTCATTGCCTTTACCCACAAGACACTGTGGGCTGGGGCATTCATAGTTTTCAATCAAGCCCCTGGCACACAGAATAAAGTGCCACAGGGCTGTGTGGGGGCAGTCGAGTCATCTTTCCAGAGGAATTGACATGTTTGTTGACTAAGGCAAGACCTGGTCTTTTTGTTGTTCTTGTTAATCCTCGCGGAAGGATATTTTTTTCCCATTTATTTATTTATTTATTTATTTATTTATTTATTTATTAGAAGAAGAGAGAGAGGCGGGGACAGAGGAAAAGTGATATGAGAGACACATCCGTTGGTTGCCTCCTGCATGCACCCCGACTGTGCCTGGGCAGGGATGGATCTTGCAACCCAGGTGTTGACTGGGAATCAAACCAACAGCCCTTAGGTATGCAGGGCTGATGTTCTAATCACTGAGTCACACCAGCCAGAGCAAGACTTTGTCTTTATTGATAGATAGGGAAACTCAAATGCCCTTGATCCCCTGAGCACATAACCTCCTCGGGATCATTCCTGGCTCAGATGTCCCAACTTACTCCTTATGCTAGTAAGATATTTTCAAAAAACAAAACAAAACAAAAACTTATTAATGCAACTCGAACTTTGGAAGTCAGGTATTGAAGAGAATTTTCATCAGAAAATTGTCCACTTGTCCCAGGACAGGGAAAACAATGAGTGTGCAGTCTCTAGTGTTGTTTCTCCAGGGGTCCAGTGAGCAGAGTGCTGGTCCAGCCTGAGCAGTTCTCAGCCAGGGGGTGAGAGCAGGGCAGGTGGAGAGACTACTGGGCCAGGGGAAAAAAGTCTGGGTTGCAGTCCAAGCTCTGTCACAAATTATTTTATTGCCTTTGCCTTTGGGTCAGTTCCCCGGGGCTGCTGTGACAAAGCACCAGGCTGGGCAGTTTATGCAATAGATGTTTATTGTCTGACAGTTCTGGAGGCTGGAAGTCCCAGGTCAAGGTGTTGGCAGAGTTGGTTTCTTCTGAGGCTGTGAGGGAGCATCTGTTCCTGTCCCCTCTCTCTGGTGGTTTACAATCTTCGGTGTTCCTTGGCTTGGAGATGCCTCACCTTGATCTCTGCCTTCATCTTCACAAAGCGTTCTCCCTTTCTGTGTGTCTGTGTCCAGATTTCCCCCTTTTAAAAGAACACCAGTCATATTGGCATGGGCCTTCCTGATGGGCTCATTTTACCTTGATCATCTGCAGAGACCCTATTTCCAAATAAGGTCAGTGGGTAAGACTTCAACATCTTTTGGGGAGACACAAACCATAACAGGTTTTCTCTGTAAAATTAGAGGGTTTGACTAGACTTGTTATTCACAGATGCCTCAGAATCATCTCAGAAGACACTCTGGAAATACATATCTTGTCCCCCAAAACAAAGGTTCTGATTTATTAAGTTTGAGGCATCCCAAGCATGTGTATTTTGGACATTGTCCTAAGATGACTCTCATGTGTGCGTGGATGCTCTGGACTGGCCACGGGAACCCCTTCCATTAGTGGAGCCTGTGGTTGTCTGGTAATGTGCAGCTGCGTGTGCTTCTCCTGAGACTGGATGGTGACACTTCTAGGGATCAGAGCCCATTCGGAGGGCTGGCCTGGGGCCCACCAAGCATTACTTGAAAATGGCTGGGGGCCAAAATGATGTTATTCTTGCCCTTTGCCCAGATGTTAATTTATTCTCCCCGTCCCCCCAATCACCAAGGATATGTTTTTACTGATTTTAGAGGTAGGGGATGAGAGAAAGAGAGAGAGAGAGAGAGAGAGAGAGAGAGAGGAACATTGATGTGAGAGAGAAACATCAATTCGTTGCCTTCTCCACATGCCCTGAGTGGGGATCAAACCTGAAACCTGGGTATGTGCCCTGATTGGGAATTGACCCCACAAACTTTTGGTGTGGTGGACGACACTCCAACCTACTGAGCCCCCCGGCCAGCGCTAATTTATTTCACTTGAGCCAGTAGGACTTCAAAGGTGAAAGGTTTTTTCCCTGTGCTTAGACTTGTGATCTACATTGAGACAGATAATGAGCAAGGCAGTTAATAAGAGAATTGCTTTAATTAGTACCATCCACAGGTCGAGGCAAAAGGGCCTCCTGCCCACTCCTCACTGGACAGGGCTGTGAGCTGTGCTGTTCCTTCTGGGCCCTCTCCCAGTACTCAGGATCCTGGATTTCCCTGCCCTCGTGACTTGTTGCTGATCCCAAGGCCTGCAAGGGTCTCTTTGCCAAGTGTGTTTGCTCAAGGGCCATCCGTGCTGCTGGTAGGCTAGCCTTTAACCTCAGAGAGTGGCCACATGGCAGGTGTTTGTGGGAATGGAGGTGTGTGTGGAATGTAATGTGTGGACTGGAGTGTCCATGTCCACACAGGATTTGGGTGGAAGGCAAGGGGATGTGGCTTGCAGGCCCGGCTGGCTCCCCATGACACCAGGTCCTGGTGCTTCCCAGGTCAGTAATGAAACTGTGTTTGTGAAGGTAGAAGGATAGAGCAAGATTCATGAAACAGCTTGCTAGCTTGACTTGCAATGAGGTGTTTAGGACTGTCATTAGAGGGCCTCAGTTTGTACTGGGCCTCAGTTTCGGGCCCTCTAATGCAGGCTGACTTGAATGAAGGTATGTTTAAAGGGCTGCAGGTGGGAGAGGGGAGGTTTATTACTTTATGTTCCCTATCAAATCAGTTTAGCAGAGTGACAATTTGGAGGTGCTATATTTGGTGCATTGACCAGCTGTGGCAGATTAAATTCCAAGTTTTGTTCCTGGGAGACTGGAATTAGATATCTCTCTCAGTGAACAACTGGTCTGTTTTTGTGTGTGTGTGTGTGTTGATAAGGATGGCAAGATCATCTTATTTATCACTTTTAGAATTAAGGATTGTATAGAACCTACTGTATGGAGAAGACTAGGCATGAGGGGGAGAGTTCGTTGCCAAGGCTGACCATTCCCATGAAGAGCTCTCTTTTTGTGCACCACCCATCCATTTTGGAGTGCCTAAAAACCCATTGTGAGCAACACTGAGTGCAGGATAGCATCTCTCCCCATGCATCTTGGGAAGAGTGGAAGAGTAATTTGACACCAAGGAATTCTGATTTTTTTAAGCCCTGGAAGTCGAAATCCGAGGGCCATTAACCAACACAGAAGGTTGCAACAAATACGACCTCTTCAGTTATCTTTCAGAACCTAACTATGACTTGCTTCACTGAAGTAGAACCAAGAATCATAATGAAGAACTGGAGAAGGGATGACCTGCCCCCTGTGCCCTGGCAGTGACAGCATCTCATTTCCCCTCACTGTTGCTGTTTAAGGTCCGCGTGGACGTACTTACAGCATCGTTCACCCAGGAAGCCAGGTGGACAGGGAGTCCTGTGTGGAGAAGCAAGAGACATGAAAAAGCAAGGCGGCCTGAGATGTCCCATGGTGCTTTTTTGACATTTTGATAGCAAAGTGAAACTTGTCTCAAATGAAAAGAATAAAAGAAGGAACTAGATAAACACCGGCAGGAAATGGTTGTTGTGGGTATACTCAGGAAGGCCTGGATCCAGGGAGGTAGGCCCAGCTTATGATACACCCCTGTGTTTCTCTTGCTGGCTCTCCTCAGGGAAGTGCCTTCTTCCATCAGATCCAGCCAAGGAAACAAACTGCTTAATATTTAAAGCGGGGAATTTAATGCAAGACATCCTGACATTGCTGAGATGCCAAATGAGATATTGAGGCCCCCCAGAGGCTGTCAGCTGAGAGAAACCACTTCCAAAGCAGGGAAGATGATCTTACTAGGCCCAGGGACTGAGATGGCTCTGAAAGCGGGAACGAAGATCCTGCAGGCCTCGGCAGAGGGGTCCTGAGAGAGCTACCCTGATTACACCCAGGCTCACTCTCCCCCAGTTTCCTACCCAGTGACCCCCATTGGCTGAACCGGGCCAGAAACCAACCTGGGGAATGGAGCCTGCAGGGGGCCTCCCTGTGATGGTACCTGGCAGGAGAAGGGTGAGGAATGGGTCTGCGAGCACACAGGCCTGCAGTCTGCCCCAGAAGTGCTTTTACTCTGCTAGCTCCGGATGAGCACCTAGCACACTGCTTTTGCTGAACCTGCCATCATGGCCCAGCCCTCCTGATAGTAGTGGACTTAGTCCTCAGTGCCCTGACGCTGGAGTTGCATTGGTGGTGGAGGGCCCTCCCTCCAGCTGTTTGCGAGTCAGAGGAACAAGTGTTTATGTGCACAGATGGTTGCAGTGCACTCTCCCCAGCTCTTTGAAGGATTCTCCTAATTACAAAGCAGCTGAGAAGGCTGGAAGGTGAAGGGATCAATGGTTTGCAGCTCACTTGCAGGTGAATTTGGAATGGAAGGGGAGAAGGGCAGGAGAGCCATGCTTGGCAGGGCAGAGTGGAATGGGTTTTCTCTCAGGGGGCGCTGATTGTCCAGTGTTGGGAAGTGGGGAAAGAGAACGTGTATGTGGGGTGTAGGGCTAGGATGAACCAGGCTGGGGACAGAGGAGGCAGTGCTATGGGAGAGGCTCCTGAAAGAGAGAACTTCGGATCCGGAGGCTGGATGGATGGCAGAAAATGCAGTGTCTGCGCTGGCACTCGAGGATGATGAGGAGCCGAGTTCAGCTTTTGTACCTGGGTAATAGCCACTACTCAGTCTCCTCAGGGACTCTCCTATCTTTGGAACATCTGGCCCAGCACTAAGCGAATCCAGGGACTAAGGGACATACACTTCCTTTGTGTTCTTTCCATTTGCTTCTGATTCTAGAAAATCCCACAAAACATGCGAAGAGCAAACAGTTCTTTTTCCTTTTTGCCAATAGGTGGATCTGGAGCGGACCTTCACATTTCGAAACTCCAAGCAGACCTACTCAGGGATTCCCATCATTGTGGCCAACATGGACACTGTGGGGACATTTGAGATGGCAGCGGTGATGTCACAGGTAGGGCGGTGGGCTTTTTCCCTCGGCTGTTCACACTGGACCGCTTGTCAGGAGCCCATCCTGGTCTTGTTCAGACACAGGGAAGATAAGAAAAGGGAGGCACTTGGATCCTTGGCTGGGACTGAACTATTTAGTTCTGAGTCTGATCCTTGTGGGAGGCACTTCTTTTCTTCCCTGCTTTTCAATTAGAAAAAATGGGTGGAGTCTGGACTTTGCAGTCGGTGAGATGGCTGAGAGCCACATTCATTGCTTCCCTGAAGATGCCCGTGATAGTTTTGGAAATTAGAGCTACAGAAAGAAGGTGGACATTGTGCCATATTGTGAAGTTAGTTGAGTGCCATATTATGGAAGAGGGAGAGTGCCTTCAAATGAAGACGCAACTGCTTCGTATGCAGTCTGTGCTATAGCATTTGTTACATCGTGTAGAAAACACTCATTGAGCACTTTACTTGCCAAACACTGGGTATGATGATATAATGTTGTCACAGCTTCACCAGGTAGGTTCCTTTTACAGATGAGGAAACTGAGGCATAGAGGGAGAGGAGGGATAATTTGGCCCAGGGTGTTCAGCCAAGTAGAGACAAATTCAAGATGCAAACCCAGACTGACTCCAGAATAAGGGATTTGCCTGTCAATTTACACTGACAGATCACAGTGCAAGCGCAAGGTCCCCCTTTACCAGTTACCAGTCTAATGTCCTGTAAATGGAGTAGCTGGTATCCTGGCCTTGGGAAAAGTAAAGGAAAAGCTTTCTGTGGCCAGGACCTGTGTCTCACGCAGCTGTGTCTCAGGTGCAAGGCACTCTGTTCATCCGAGATGCAGACATCCACTTGTAATGTGCACAGGGTGTGCGCATCTATTTCCCCTGATAATCTTGCCAAGTGAAAAAAATCAATCCAATTAGTTGAAAGAGCTTCTGGCTGTGGGCAGCAAGTCTAACCTCAGGGGGTGCTGGGAGTCCTTATTAGCCAGTGATTAGCAGGGAGAGCTTCAAACAAATTATGAGCTCAAAGCATGGCGTAGGAGGTGGTCTGTCTGACTCCACGATCTGTCAGTTGTATTATCTGTCAGCCCTCAGTCCCCACTGAGCTTTGGGCCAGAGGCTAATAAATTAATTGCTAAAGGAATTTGTGTTTTTTTCCCTCCCCATCTGTTCCTTGCTCTTGCTCTGTGATCTGCCATTGCTACTAATGAATTATGTATTCGTGTAAAAGTGGGTGGAATCAGGGAGCAATAAATAGCCCTGGTTAATTCACATACCAGTTTATTACTCTGTGAAAAACATACACCTTCTTATGCTCTTCCCATTTTCACGGGAAAGCCTCCCCGTTAATGAGACAGAATACACTGAAATAGCTGCCCATGCGTGGGTACTATGCAGTTTCTATTTCTGGGATCCATTGAGTTAGTGCAAGTGGACGAAGTCATGGAATTTTAGGATGGGAAACTGTGGACGGAGAAAAGCACCAGAGAAGTGATGAGAGAGGCCCTGGTCTAGGGGAAGGACCCTGAGCTCCGCAGTCAGATTTGAGTTTGATTCTGCCTTTGCCCCTTACTGGCCAAGCAATTGTGAAATTTCTTACATTTAAACTTCTTAAGCTCTTTTCTGCCCACAAAGCTAATATTAGTGTACAAAATTGTGAGAAGTAAATGAAATAATGTATGCAAACTGCTTGCACAAGATAGGTACTCAATAAATGCCAGGTTGATAGTCATAGACTTCCTATTATAATTTATATAATTTCCTTCCTTAGGGATACCCACTGCCTGATGGGTTTAGATTTTAGCAAGAAATGCTTAGGTTGTGACCACAAGGAAAAGCTTTCAGGTATAAGCTGAGGTTCTCTCAGGTTGGCTAAGCAGAATTGGCCTTAAGGAGGCCCTTCTTATGGGCAGGGGACCTGCTCTTGGCCTAATGCAGGTGGTCAGCGGGACAGGGCTTAGAACTCTCCCTCTTCCCTCCCCTTCCTCCTGGCAGAGCCTCTTAAATACTGATTGTGGTATTTTCTGATGAGATTAGAATGGAAAAATCCTTTTGTGATTTCACTGGCTTCACCTTTGTCTGTTTTTGGCTCCTAGGAGCATATTCAAAGCTAATTAAACATGACTGGCAGGAACCTCCGATGCTTTTGTATGGTTGGCTCACCCCCGCCTCTCCGCCTTACAGAGGAAGGAGGCTCACTTGACATTTCATCCTAACTGTGCTTTTTGTTTCCTAGCACTCTATGTTTACAGCAATTCACAAGCATTACACCCTGGACGACTGGAAGCTCTTTGCCACTGATCACCCAGAATGCCTGCAGGTATTTGTTGCAAAGGGTAGAAAATCTTTGGGGTTGTCCAAAGGATTTGAATCAGCGGCGGATAGACACACACACACACACACACACACACACACACACACACACCTGAGAGAGACCTGGGTAACCGCAGTAGTGGTGCTCCAGCCCTTCGTTGTTGCCAGGGATTTGCCAAGGAAATCTGTTCTGTATCCTGTTTTGAAAGTATTAGGATTTACTTGCAAGGAGTATCTGTGTTTTTCTCTTGAAAGGTGAAGTGTTCTGGTATAAGGGCTTGGGGAAGACCTCTGCTTCCTGCCCGGGGTAGATCCAATCCAAACATTCCTTCTGGGTGTAGGAAAACTTTCTAATTGTAGCAGATTGTTTTGGTGTTGAATAAACAGTATGCCTGCTAGGAGGGCTATAATTAAAAGACAGAGAGTAACTAGTGTTGGCGTGGATGTGAAGAGATTGGAACCCTCCTGTATTGCTGGTGGGAATGTAAAATGGTGCCATTGCTTTGGAAAAAAGTTTGGCAGTTCCTCAAAAAAGTTAAATTATAAGAGTTACCATATGACTCAGCAATTCCAGTCTTAGTTATAGGCCTGAGAGAAATAAAAAAAAAATGTCCACACCAAAACATATACAGAGATGTGCATAGCAGCACTGTTCATAATAGCCAAAAGGTAGAAGCTAGCCAGATATCCATCAACTAACTGATGAATGAAAACTGATATATCCACACAATGGAATGTTATTCAACTATAAAAAGTACTGACACATCTACAGCTGGATGAGCCTTGAAAACACTTTGCTAAGTGAAAAAGCCAGATACAAAAGGCCACATATGTGATTGTTTACATGAACCATCAAGAAGGCAAACCTCTAGAGACAGAAAGTAGATTAATGGTTGCTTGAGGGATGGGAGGGTTGGAGGGCGAGGCCTAAAAGGAGTGAGAGTTGTACCATTGATTATGATGGTGGTTGCACTGCTCTGAATGTACTAAAAACCATTGAACTGTGGTCTTTAAATGGGTGAATTGGATGGTATGTGATTTTTATCTCAATAAAGCTGTTATTATTTTTTAAGGGCAATTTGAAAATAACAAAAAGCCCCACTCTGATGTGCCTGAGTTCCCTCCTGGCACATGGTTGGTTCGGAGCCAGGGCCAGCAGAGCACCGCCTTGGAGACACTCTCCTCTGATCAGATTACCGTGATTGCAAAATGACTTCACAGTGGGGGGCGTTTGAGGTTGCGCTGGCTTTTTTTTTTTTTTTTTTGCTATGTTTTCATTATGTGTGGATTTTGATTAGTGAGAAGGTGGTTTTGGAGATAAAATTATTCTGGCTCAATAGCAAATCCTTCCTTTTTGACATATTGTGTTCAGAAGAACTATACTTGTTTCACCTTCTTTCTCCCTCTTCTCTGTTGGAAGTCGGGAAGGCAATGACTTTGGGGCCATGTGTGGTTGATTGGAACCTTGGCTTTCATGAAGGAGTGAGGTCATTTTACCTATTACCCAGTCCCCACCAAACTAAAGGCTGATTTTTCTGAAAAGGGAAAAGGTTAAAAACAGCAGCACTGGGAGAGATGGAAATGGAGGGGAAAATAAAAAAGCTCTCGTGGGAGGGAAAAGATGTGTGGGTTGTGCCGCCTGGTCACACTGCCAACAGGAGTGAAAAGAGAGTAAACCCAGGAAATGAGTCAGCATGAATCCTGTTACAGTTCTCTTACAACCACTGGGCTGTAGCTACATCGTTGTGATTTTTTGGAGGGAATAACAAGGATATTAATATATGTCCCTCCTCTGTGGTTTATGGACTAGAGATAACAAATTAAAATATTCTTATAAAGGTGAGATGCCAACTCTGGGCACAGTCCCATGGCTTAGTTTCACTGAGGCATAAATTACTAAACACAGAGGTCTTTTCCCAAAGAGCATCTTTCCGAGGAGCCGGTGGATGAGTTGGAAGGTGCTGGTGCTGTGGGGTTTGGGGAGGGGGTGCGGTGGCTTCAGATGTAAGCACATCCAAGTGCAGTTGGGGAATGATGCTTTCAGGCTCCTTTGTTCTTGGCCCTTTTAATAGGAACACTGAGATTTGCAGCTCTCTGGGTTACGATCTGCATGTTGTGTTAATATTGTATTGGGAGTAAAAATGAAAATAGAAAAGGGTTTTAGACACCTTTCCCTCCCTCCTCCTGAGCCCCAGAGCGAGATGCTGGGGGTGATGGCCACAGTGTGGGCGTCAGGAGGCCCGAGTTGACTGGCCTCCCCATCATTCTTCCTGCCTCTCCTCTCCGCCAGAAGGAGGAGAATTCGCACCAATGGTTCCACGATTCAGAGTCCCACATAGAGAGCCAAGGACACGTGAACAAACGCCACAGACAAGGTTTCCTGGCTACGTAAAACACTGTTGGCTAGAACCGTTCGTGGCTGAGGGCCAGGGCCAAGGATACATGCAGTTTAATGGTGGGAAAGAGCAGGGGCAGAGTTTAGATGACGTGAGGAAGGGATTCCTTCACCTCTGCTGCTGCCTGGTTCTCCAGCAGGGCCACTCTGTGCAGGTTCGATCAGGGTAACTGACCTCCAAGGGTCACTGTACTGTCCCAGAACAGGTGAGTGGTTGGAGGCAGGGTCTGGCTTCTGAAGGCTTCTCACTGTCCGTGTCTCGCCCCTCTTGGTTTCTGTTCGGTACAGCACGTAGCCGTGAGCTCCGGCAGTGGGAAGCATGACCTGGAAAAGATGAGCAGCATCCTGGAAGCTGTGCCACAGGTTAAGTTTATTTGCCTGGATGTGGCCAATGGCTATTCCGAGCACTTTGTGGAATTCGTGAAACTCGTCCGTGCCAGATTTCCAGAGCACACCATTATGGTAGGTACGGTGGAACCTTCCGGAGCTGGGGAAGCAGGGAGGGGTGCCCGGTGCGTCAGGGGAGCTAGATGCTCTGCAGAGCTTTCGGTGCCTTCTCATTGGAAGACTGGTTGAAAACCCCCGGGCACAATGGAAGCTATGGAAGATCTGAAACCTGGCTCTCCTCTGTGAAAAGTGCAGTCCAGGCCAGCAGCGTGGGGTGTGGCTCCTTACCTCTGCTTAATATCGTCACATGTTTCTTACCCTGTGACACCTTTAAACAAAGGTCTGTGTCACCTTAACAAAGAACAATTTGTTTTTTTTCAAATTATAAGGACATGTTTATTTAGAAAGTGACAGAGGTAGTAGAAGTGAGCCAGCTGGGCTGCGTAGGCTCAGGAAACAAGTTACAGAGGCAGAAGAAGGGCGCCTAGGAGCTGAGAGAGAGAAAGGCAGAGGTCACCACGTGCCTGGGGGAGATGAAGGGGAGGGAGGGAGAGCCAAAGAGCACATTCTTACGAATGAAAAACCCACTGTAACGGCTTCAGTGTAACCTGCTTCTGCCAGCTGCGCCCACCCCTCCTTACAGTAGCAGGCTCTCCTGTGAGAGCTGAGTCCACAGTAGGAACATTTCACAGTTGTCAGCTGTTACTTGTAAATCATTTGGTGTGTTGTTTTATCTAGGATCTTTATTCTTGACCTTTCCTACCTTTTTTGTAATTTCCTAACCATCAGTACCTTCATTACTTAGAATATGTATTTGTTATTGCTGGGAAGTGTGGATTTTCAGGAAAAGGAACTAGAAACTCTAAAGTTAAATTTGGGCTTTTGGGAAATCTATATTGTAGTTACGTGTGTCTTTACTGGTCTTAATTAACATGGCAATTATAGCTTGGCCACTAGATGAGCTACCTAAATCTCTTTTTTAAATCCTGTGTTCCTCACATTTGATCATTGTATTGAAGTTGGGAGACAGGAGTTATTTCTATTGGTGGAGTTAACTCTTCTGTTAAGAATTTCCAAGGATTTTTAAGATAAGTATTTTTATGCTTTCCAATCACATGAGAAGAAAGGATCAAGAATTGTCCCAAAGTCAACCAGCTGTATGGAGTCACAAGCTGGGTGGGAAACAACAAGATTCATTTTACCTTCCGTAAAAGTGCTACCAATGTCGTTGTTTTTTTTTTTTTTTGATAAGAGTAATAGCATTTATTGAGTGCCTACTGTGTTCCAGAAGGTTTACATCTTTTCCCCCACTCCTTCTTCACGTCTTTGTAAAGAGTAAAAACTGTTGTCCCAAACTTACCACAGATGAGGAATTCTCATGCAAGGATATGTTTATTGAATTTTAGAGAGAGGAAGGGGGAAGAGAGAGAGAAATATCATGAACCCAAAACCTGGGTATATACCCTGACCAGGAATCGAACCCACAGCCTTTTGGTGTAGGAGATGATGCTCCAACCAACTGAGCCACCTGGCCAGTGCCAGATGAGGAATGTTAAGCTCTTATTTCATTTTTTTAAAATATATTTTTTATTGATTTCAGAGAGGAAGGAAGAGGGAGGGAGAGAAACATCAATGATGAGAGAGAATCATTGACTGGCTGCTTCCTGCACGCCCCCTACTGGATATCGAGCCCACAATCCAAGCGTGTGCCCTTGACTGGAATAGAACCTGGGACCCTTCAATCTGCAGGCCGGCGCTCTATCCACTGAGCCAAACCAGCCAGGGCTTATTTCATTCTTATACTTTGGGATTTTCACAAGGTCACAGCAACATTAAGCAGCAAAGCTGGGATTTGAAGCCAGGTTGTTCTGAATGCGACACCCATGGTCTACCCTTGAGGCTGCTTAATGTGCCCATCCTCGTTAACTTTAGTGATGAGGCTCCTTTCTTCCATTAGGGGCGCAGTGGTCGGCAAACTGTGGCTTGGCAAACCGCGGCTTGCGAGCCACATGCGGCTCTTTGGCCCCTTGAGTATAGCTCTTCCACAAAATACCGACTTCTGTGCATGGGCCACGAAGTTTCAATCACACTGTACGTGTGCGCCACACATGGTATTTTGTGGAAGAGCCACACTCAAGGGGCCAAAGAGCCGCATGTGGCTCACGAGCCACAGTTTGCTGACCACAGCACTAGGCCATGTGCATGTGACCAATTTCCTGCTCCCTGTTCTAACGAGGTTGACCTTGTATGTTTGCACTGGAGGGTGACCCTGTATCATGACCCAAGGATAGGAGGTCAGGGGCCTCAACTGGCTCTTTTACCCCCAACCATCTGTGGTAACTGTTTCTTAGGAAGAGAAAATGGAAAGCTGGACTCCAGGGAGGGCAGACGCCCTGCCCCAGCTAGACCTGAGAGCCCTCATCAGCATTTCGTATTAAACAAAAGTTCTGTGAAACAACAGCGGGGTGGTAGAAAGAGAATGGCACATATTTGTTGACTAGGAGAGGAGTCTTTTGTTTTTTCTTCTGGAGAATGAGGAATAAGGCAGGCCCAGGTGGCTGCTGACATTCTTATCTGAGGTGGTGGATCTGATCTTTCCAGAGATTTCCAGATTTCCATTTCACCTCTAGTGTTTTTGTTGATTTTTCATCCTCACCTGAGGGGTGTGTATGTATATATATATATATTTGTTTATTTAAAGAGAGGAAGAGAGAGAGAGAGAGAGAGAGAGAGAGAGAGAGAGAGAACCTAGGTATGTGTCCTGACCAGAAATCAAACCCACACCTTTTGGGTATATGGGACAACCTGGCCAGGGCTCCTGAAGGGTTTTAATGGCCCTGTAGATACAAGGGACTAAGAAACTTGGGAAGTTATGCTTTATGTCTACTGGGTTTGGGTATAAGTGTTAGCTATGAATGTTTAGGAATCAGAAATTTCATCAATTTAATGAGTCAACCTAGTGGCTTCAGTTCTTTTTTTTTTTTTTTTTTTAGTAATTCTTGTATTAAATAGTGAGCTATGACCTACATATGGAAAAGTGCATAACATATGGAGGTTTCATAGTCATAAAGTAGCAGTCCTTCAGTTGTTTCCCTTAGTATAATACCCTCTAGGTTCATCCATACGCTAAAATTCATATGGACCTACAAAAGATCACAAATGATCATACCTTGAGGCAGAAGAACAAGAGTGGAGGTGTCATACTCTCCAGGTCTCTGGGCTTCAGAAAACCAAGTACACCTTTTTAATATGAATCAAGCAGGCTAATGATCAGTAGCAGCTATCTGCAAACTGGCAGGTAGGTGGTAATAATATAATTAAAATGTATAATTAAAATTCATTGTTGAATGGTGTTTGTTTATTCAGTGTTATAAATAGCCACCCCAAAAATCCAAGAGGGAAAAAATATACTTCAAGTGCAAAAGGTCTATAGCATTGAAGGAAAAAAAATCACCTTTTTTCTTCCTTTCCCTTTTATAAACTTCATAATTTAAAAAGTAATGAGGTTTGAAAGAAAGGGAATATGGCTATCGGTACATGTATATAAAAAATAACAATTGGTGTACTCACAGGGCCAGCTATGTCCTACAAATTCATTACCAGAAAATTCCTTGAACGTACATATCTGTGCATGTTACTCCTCATAGCAATGATCTACAATTTCAATGTCTGCACTTTTAGTACAGTCAATACATTTGCTGATGCAAAATAGTCACTTCTGTCAGCAATGCCAAAGACAGTGTTATTTAATAAGTACCGCCCTGGCAGGAATGGGTCAGTGGGTAGAGCATCAGCCTCTAGACTGAAGAGTCCTGAGTTCGATTCAGCCAAGGGCACATGCCTGGTTTGCGGGCTCCCTAGTGGGGGCCGTGCAGGAGGCAGCCGATCAATGATTCTCTTTCATGATTGATGTTTCTATCTCTCTCTCCCTCACCCTTCCTCTCTGAAATCAATAAAAAGATTGAAAAAATAAAAGTACCTATCAAAAACGTGTGGATAGTACAAGCATGAACTAAGATGCTCGAGAACGGAAACCAACACCAGTTCTCTCACTGACCACACTGATGTGTTTCAGGGCCTGTTTGTAAAAAGCACTGCGACTAGAGTTTAGGATCAGTGTGCATAAACGTTAAGGACCAGTAGCCAATAACAAAGGTCTAATAATTCCTTACCTATAGGTATTCTAGCCACTTTTCCAAATGCAACTGATTTTCCTTAAGAAAAATAAGTCAATTAATTCATGTATTTCATACTGCATTCTTTTAAATGAAAATAAACAACTTATTTAACTGCTTATTTTAGCACCGAGATGAGTGTCATGCAGTTTTGTAAAAATGTAGTTATTTAAATTGTGAATAGGTTGGAATCAGTCTTAATGCAAAAGTTTTCCAGTTAATTTATTTTGGGTGAAGGTTGGTGTGTGTGTGTGTGTGTGTGTGTGTGTGTGTGTGTGTGTTGGGGGGGTCAGGGGGGCTTTGTGTTAGCAGGCCTGACTCTTCTTCCCTCACTAGGTTATAAGGCAGAAATCTCCATTCAGGGTCTGCCTTTAGTCATTTCACTCCTGTCTTGTAGAATTCAGAAGGCTGAATGTTTTTGACCCCACTTTACTTCTTATTAAAAAAAAAAAAAACAAAATTCAAAAAAGAGAGAAAAGAAACCCATTGGAGCCCCCACCCAGAGCTTCCCATTTGCATGCTCCGGACAGTTGGCCATGAGTTGTAGCTCCCAGCTGGCCCCACTGAGAGCTGAGCAAGCTGCCTGTGTCCCACCCATCAGGCAAGCACCAGGGACAGAGGGCAGTGCAGGGAGAGGCCGGGCTGGGAGGACAAGGAAAAGGGGGTTGTTGCCAGTGCGGAGCCTGCAGGTTGCTCTGGGGGATGAGTCTGGGAGGGGGCGATGGGTGCTGAGTTCCCACGGCCCTCTGGGCAGCCACCAACAGCAAGTGCCTCTCCAGCGCCTGCTGGCTGGCCCAGGTTGTGCTCTTGGTGTTCTTGTTGGTTTCCCCAGCAATGACCAGGAGACTTTGGCAAGGTGGGTGTTTATTCCTCAGCCATTCTTCGCCTGCGCTGACCCCT